CTCCACCCGGGGACCTGCGTCTGTGCACCCCTCCTGCCTCACCGGTCCCTCTGCTGCAGGGCACAGCTGAGCCATGCGCTTGCTTCTGCCAGGTCTGGCCAGGAGGACAGGGTTGGCAAAAGGCCTCCAGCTGCTTCTCTAGGTCCTTCCAACCTGGAGCTGCTGCTTCCCTGCTGCGTGCAACGGGGTGGCAAAAGTAGGAGCATGTTTTTGCCCTGGCACACCTGGGGCTGCTGCCTTTTGTGCTGCCGGTGTTCACTGAACGCTACCACCAGAGGGACCTAATGGCCCAAGCTGGTGCCTTCCAAGGGCTGTGGTTTGGCTTAAAAACTGCACAGATCAAAAATCTGGCAAAGCCTTTAAAGTAGGGGGACATGGTTCCTTCTTCAAAGGTAGTCACAGTGAACTTTATTAAAAAGGAAAACTCTAAATAAATAATCTGACAAATTCCACATAAACCATGATTTTTTTCCATTTAACATTCTGTACATGTTTTCCTTCAAACTGTGTTCATTTATATGAAAAATCTGAATTAAAAAAATTTATGAGACAATATTAGAAGTGCTTGAAGTAATCACTTCTTTTCCTTCAGTCTGGGCTTATTTCACTGAGTAATTTTTTTGTTTTACGATTCTCTTGTAGATTGGTTCTGAGAAAGTACTGAAAGTAAGTGACTGCATTCCTGACATGCTAGCAGTGGACAATAAGGCCGAAGCCCAGAAGTTACATCCATGGAGCCAGTTGTCTTCAACACCAGCAGAAGAGAAGATTGATGGTCACAACTCTTCCTGGATTTACCCTAATGAAAATGGAGAGAGAGATTTCACACCCACGCCTACACCTCAGACTCATACCTGGTTTGAAAATTTTACTTATTCTTCCCATCTTGCAGTTAAATCTGACCCCTATCAAATACCAGGGACACTAGAAACAAGCACATCAGAACTGTCAGAACTGCTGTACCAGCCACACTACTACTTCGATATCTTAAATGAAGGTGTTTCCTCTACACCCAGAGAAACAGCTGGCAGAAAGACCAGTCTGAGATACATTTCACAAACAGCTGTGCCTAGGGAGGAGGCTTTGATGTACTCTCTTCCACTGAGTCCCTCCACTGGTTACACAAGATAAATAAGAATTTCTAAAACCACAGCAACTTCTCCTTTTGATGAAGGCTTTCACAAGCCTGACTGCCCCTACTTCTGTTAATGCTGCTAAGGTCTTGCTTCAGGACTAGTTTAAAAACACTAACAGGGACGATGCGTGCGATTTACAGGCTGTTTTGTGGTCTGTGTTATATTAGATCACAGCAGTTTCTTAATAGTCTGATGCAAAGAACTATGATATTTTGCAGAGATTAAAAATTTATTCTGAAAGTAGAGGAGCAAGTTAAACACGCAGGAAGGTGGTGGTGCTCAAGGCGTTAATTCACTTGCAGTATCCTGTGTGCTGACTATGTGCTCTGGCCACCTCTAGCCAGTGTGCACTGTGCACCTGGGGCTTCTCATACTCTTGCCTTCTCTGTGTGGAGGAATGACTCTTTAAAATCCTAAACAAAGAAATGTGGGGAGGTAGGTGGGAAGGAGCAGTTTTTCCAGCTGGACAGCTGTTTGCAGAACTGTTACCATGGCACTGTCTCTCTGCTTGTGCACATGAACTCTATTTCTTTAGGCATTAACACTTGCAGTTAGGTAGCAAGCCCTGAACAACCAGGTAAGCAGGCAGTGTAGTCAGATGCACAGGTGTCTGAATACCGTTCGTGAACTATTCAGGCTGCACTCCAACACTACTTTTGGATGCATTAAAAAAAACTACTGTTATTGTAATGCTCAGAATCCCTACAGTAGGCAGTAGTGTTTGGCCTTCCATTTTGATTTTTAAAAAATTTTACATTTGTAGTGAAGCAGAATAGTTGGAATTTTATCTAAAATTCTCATCAGATTAATGTCCTTACTGCACTAAGAATCCTTTGGTTTTGCCTTATGATGATGACCTTTCACAAATAGAAAATTTCACTTGGAGCACAGAATAATCAGTACTCAAAAGGGAAAAAATGAAGCGCTTTTTACGATTTGATATTCAGCTAATTTGTTAAAATGTGGTTATTGTTAATGAAATATAACAAGGGAAAGTGCA